CTTTGTGTCTATGGGCGCTGCTGCTGCTGCTACTGACAGCACTTGCCCCTACAGCACTGCTAGAGGCTACCTGGGGGAGCTTTGTCTTTGTGTCTATGGGCGCTGCTGCTACTGACAGCATTTGCCCCTACAGCACTGCTAGAGGCTACCTGAGGGAGCTTTGTCTTTGTGTCTATGGGCGCTGCTGCTACTGACAGCACTTGCCCCTACAGCACTTCTAAAGGCTACCTGGGGGAGCTTTGTCTCTGTATTTATAGGCGCTGCTGCTGCTACTGACAGCACTTGCCCCTACAGCCCCGCTAGAGGCTACCTGGGGGAGCTTTGTCTTTGTGTCTATAGGCGCTGCTGCTGCTACTGACAGCACTTGCCCCTACAGCACTGCTAGAGGCTACCTGAGGGAGCTTTGTCTTTGTGTCTATAGGCGCTGCTGCTGCTACTGACAGCACTTGCCCCTACAGCACTGCTAGAGGCTACCTAAGGGAGCTTTGTCTTTGTGTCTATGGGCGCTGCTGCTGCTACTGACAGCACTTGCCCCTACAGCACTGCTAGAGGCTATCTCTGTCTTTGGTGGAGGCTATGGAGGAAGCCTCTATCGAGCAGTGGATAGACCCTGGCTAACGATGATGATGATGGTGGTGGTTGCATCCGTATGGTGATTAATTACAATTAATTACAATCTCATCGCAACGCGAAGTCTCCCAGAGGCGACAGACCGAGAGGCCTAGGGCGAGAAACCGACCCTCGGATAGACTCGCCCGCGGGCGCGAGGCGCCCCGAAACCGGCAGAGCGAGGAGCCTCGATGGGGGTGGGTTGGATTTTTTCTCGGTAAAAGGAATAACAATTTTTTTAAAGAGATAGGAAATAAAACAAACTAATTATAATTTGTAGATACGACAAAGGACAACAACGACGACGATAATCACGCTGTTAAAACTTTTTTTTGTTTAAATAAGAATATAAAATTGTAACTTTTATGGACACAAGGCGGAACTCACAATTCTTTGATGAGCACCATGGCTGGGTCACGTGACGCCGGTGAGGAAGTGATGGGCGGGGCAACGGAGGGGGCGGTGTCAGGTGACACCGCCGGGGCCCCTCCTCCTTATAAAGGGGGGAGGGGGGGGGCACCGCGTGACGTCACGTATCGCCGCTCCTGATGTGGGGAAGTGCGTAACGTCACGTATTGCCACTCCTTATTTGGGGGGGGGAGTGATGGATGGCACGTATCGCTGCTCCTTATGTGGGGAAGTGCGTGACGTCACGTATCGCCCCCACTCCTTATATAGAGGGCGGGGCGTGTGGCAAGTGACGCAACCAACGCCACTCCTTATGTAGGGGAGAGTGTATCAAAGACGTCACGTAACGCCACTCAAACAACGTCACACAACGGTGCTCTTTATATGGGGGGGGGGGGCGCGAGACGTCATGTATCTCCGCGACTCATGTGGAGGTGCTCGTGTCGAGTGACGTTCATGTTGCCGCTCCTTATACGGAAGTGCTCGTGTCAAGTGACGTCATCAACTTCGAGTGTCGACTCAAGGTAGCGGGGTGCGTGACGTCACGGATCGCAGTTCCACCCGCGTGACGTCACGCACCACCGAACACTCTTCATACAGAGGCAGGGGACCGTGTCAAGTGGACGTCACGGATCGCCACGTCACGAGTCCTCGCTCCTTATTTGGAGAGGCGAATGAGAAATTACGTCACTAGCTTTACCTATCGTATTGAATGAAGGGAGGCGTGACGTCACGAGTATTCGCTCCTTATATGGAGATGTGAATTATAAATAACGTCACTAGCTTAACCTATCGTCTTGAATGAAGAGGGCGTGACGTCACGAGTCCTCGCTCCTTATATGGAGATGCGAATGAGAAATTACGTCCTCGCTCCTTATCGTCTTGAATGAAGGGGGCGTGACGTCACGAGTCCTCGCTCCTTATATGGAGATGCAAATGAGAAATTACGTCACTAGCTTTACCTATCGTCTTGAACGAAGGGAGGCGTGACGTCACGAGTCCTCGCTCCTTATATGGAGATGTATCTTGTAATTTTATTGTTTTTTGCGGTTGCACCCGAATCAAGAGCCGCATGGCTCACAGGGCTATACCAAATAAATGAAATGAAATGCCAATAACAAATTACGTCACTGGCTTCTTTACAATTCGAATGAAATGAAAGGGGGTGGTCGTGACGTCAGGAGTCTTCGCTCCTTATATGGAGGCGCAAATGACAACCGACGTCATTAACTAATTTTTATTTCGGGCAGCTGGCAATGTGACGTCAGGGATTTGTCGCTCCTTATATGGAGGTGCTTATGTGTGAAGTGGCGTCATCAGATTTCTCCAACCAATAGCAATGACTCATGGGGGTGGGGGGTTCGTGACGTCACGAGCTGTCGGCGCGAATGATAAGTGACGTCACTAGCTTCAAGCGTCGACTCGAGGGGGGAGAAAGGGTGCCGTGTGTGACATCACACACCAACGGCGGCCGCTCCATTTATGGATGTTCGGCGGAAGCCGCGGGTGACGTCACGCCACGCGGGTGACGGTAACGGATGTGACGACGGTCGCGTGGTGGAAAGCACGTGACCGGGTTTCTGAAGGGGAGGGGGGAGAGGAGAGAGGGGTTGGAGTTTGTATGACGTCACAGGTACAGCGGGGACAGCCGCGTGGGGTGTGACGTCAAACTCAGTCGATTTGCAGCGCTGTGCATTTGCCATTCGCTGCAGGTGGTGTAGCCTGTCACACCCGGTAGGGGCAACAGCTGTGGGTACAAACCTGCCACCCCGTTGAGGTTTATAAGGGAGCCGTCCATAAATGACGTCACGCGATTTTGGACGATTTTTGACCCCTCCCCCCCCTCCACCTCATCACACGGCGTCACAGTCAGACCCCACCCCCCCTCTCTCTCCACAAATATGACGTCACAAAGCTCTGCCCCCCCCCCAAAAAAAAATATTTCCATTTCGCAAAATAAAACACGGTTCAAATCGCTTTAAAGTATTGTCACGTTGTAGTGTGGCGTATTTAATGTGGCGCTTACACTCTGATGTTGTAGGAGAAAACATTTATTTTAAAAAAAAAAGTCTATTTAATTAAGTAGAACGTGTTTGTCTTTATTTATTTATAAAGTTGCACATTATTATGTGACGTCACATTTCTCAACACCTCCCCCCTCCCCTTCGTCACACATCGTCAGAAATGTCTGACCCCCCCTCTTAGGTGCGTGACGTCATTTAGGGACTGCCCCCTAAGTGGCTGAATTGGTTTGTCATAAGGCAAGGGCAGCTCTGATAGACTCAGTATTGCCACCCACAGACTCATAGTGCAGTGTATAGTGTAGTGTATAGACTCAACACTGCCACCCATAGACTCATATAGTGTAGTGTATAGACTCAGCACTGCCACCCAGACTCATAGTGTAGTGTATAGTGTAGTATATAGTGTAGTGTGTAGACTCAGCACTGCCACCCAGACTCATAGTGTAGTGTATAGTGTAGTGTATAGACTCAGCACTGCCACCCATAGACTCATAGTGTAGTGTATAGTGCAGTGTATAGTGTAGTGTGTAGACTCAGCATTGCCACCCATAGACTCAGTGTAGTGTATAGTTTATAGACTCAACACTGCCACCCATAGACTCATAATGTAGTGTAGTGTATAGTCTATAGACCCAACACTGCCACCCATAGACTCATAGTGTAGTGTATAGTGTAGTGTAGACTCAGCACTGTCACCCATAGACTCAGTGTAGTGTATAGACTCAGCACGGCCACTCATAGACTAATAGTGTAGTGTAGACTCAGCACTGCTACTCATAGACTCAGTGTAGTGTATAATGTAGACTCAGCACTGCCACCCATAGACTCAGAGTGTAGTGTAGACTCAGCACTGTCACCCATAGACTCAGTGTAGTGTATAGACTCAACACTGCCACCCATAGACTCATAGTGTAGTGTACAGACTCAGCACTGCCACTCATAGACTAATAGTGTAGTGTAGACTCAGCACTGCTACTCATAGACTCAGCGTAGTGTATAATGTAGACTCAGCACTGTCACCCCTAGACTCATAGTGTAGTGTATAGACTCAACACTGCCACCCATAGACTCAGCACTGCCACCCATAGACTCAGTGCAGTGTATAGTGAGTGTGTAGACTCAGTGTAGCGTATCGGAGTGTAAAGACTCAGCACTGCCACCCATAGGCCATACAGTGTCAACCCGTACGCCTTACCCCGTTATTCATGTACAGGCGAAATTGAGCTTAGGTCCATACGGCGTTACAGCCGTTACAATACGGGCAGCCAAAATGATATTAAGTCTATTTGTTTGTGTTTCTCCCTTGTGATGGAGACTTTGTAGTATTAACGTAGAGAAGGGAGGGAATGAATGTGGCCGAGAAGACCTGAAGCTTCGTGCGGAGCGACAGACCAGGTAGCTTCCACACAAAGATCCCCCGTTTAGCCATAACAGACTGTTGGGACAAGTGCTGTTAGCTAGCGAGCACCTATGAAGGCCGGCACGGTACACGAGGGGGTGGGTGGCCAGCACCACGCCCGGCCGCCTTTGTCTCCCTAGTGGCAATGTTTACACACCGCACCAGGTACTCATTTGAGGCTGAGTCGACCTAGGGGAGGCCCGGGACCGGTTCAGATAATCGTCACTGGTGTTGGCCGTGAGCGGGAATCGAACCCGGATCGCCAGGTTCATAGCGCAGCGTTAACAGCTACACTATCGCTCCCCACACGTATGTACACACACACACACGTACACACGCACGTACACACGTATGTACGCACACACGTATGTACACACGCACAAACACACGCACGTACACACGCACACGTATGTACACACGCACACGTATGTACACACGCACGTACACACACACGTACACACACGTACGTACACACACACGTACGTACACACACACGTACGTACACACACACGTACGTACACACACACGTACACACGTACACACACACAGGTACACTCGTGCGCGATTTCATTCCTCGTTTTATTTCGATAAGCGGCGAGACTCAACCCAGGCCGAGCGGTGGACACGAGAGAGAGAGGGAGAGAGAGAGAGGGAGGGGAGAACAGAGAGAGAGACACACACAGAGAGAGAAAAATACCAAAATATGGATTCAATTTCAGTTTGTTTAAATCCTTACGAGTAGAAAGTACACAAAAATAAATAGAGGTGGGTTGGACGGGGGAGGGGAGGGGGTGATGCTCGCCGCACCGCGCGATCGACGTTCACGCGGAAAACAAATCGAAATTTCCTTCACGAACTTAAAAAAAAAACGCACAGAGAGAGAGAGAGATAGAGATCATTATAACTCGCTGTTAAACACAACTCCCCCTGACCCTCATCCTCCTCCTCCTCCTCACCACGGTGATAATTAACCGTCGTCAACACGAAAGTTGTAAACAATAACAACGCAGCCGCCGCCACCGCCGCCGCGTTCGAAAAATCGCGACACAAAAGAAACTCGCCAACCAGCCAGCCATTGGCGTGACGTGCGTACACACGCGCGCAGGTAAGTACGCGCGCAGGTAAGTACGCGCGCTATTGGCGTGCCTACGTACGTACGCAGGTACGTGCATGCGTGCTATTGGCGTGCCTGCGTACGCACGCACGCAGGTACGCGCCTGTGTACGCACGTACCTGCGTACACACGCACGCAGGTACGTGCCTGTGTACGTACGTACGTACCTGCGTACACACGCACGCAGGTACGCGCGTGTGTACGCACGTACCTGCGTACACACGCACGCAGGTACGCGCGTGCGTGCTATTGGCGTGCCTACGTACCTGCGTACACACGCACGCAGGCACGTGCGTGTGTACGTACGTACCTGCGTACACACGTACCTGCGTACACACGCACGCAGGTACGTGCGTGTGTACGTACGTACCTGCGTACACACGTACCTGCGTACACACGCACGCAGGTACGTGTGTACGTGCGTACGTACGTACCTGCGTACACACGTGCGTGTGTGTACGCGCTGTTGGCGTGCGGGAGCGCTGTTGGCGACGTGCGACGGACACCACGGGAGACGGAGCGGTCCCCCGTTTCGTCGTCGCCACATGAGAACGGAGTGGCGGGCGGGCGGAGGGGCGGCAGCGAGAAATGAACAAAAACTTCTCACGAAATTATAAACGGACGGTGATGGTGGTGGTGGGAGAGGTGGGTGGGGGGAGTGGGGAGAGAGTGGAGAGAGAGAAGGGAGAGAGTGGGGAGAGGGGAGAGAGTGGGGGGGAGAGTGGGGGAGAGAGTGGGGGGGAGAGTGGGGGGTGGGGAGAGAGTGGGGAGAGAGAAGGGAGAGAGTGGGGAGAGGGGAGAGAGTGGGGAGAGGGTGGGGAGAGAGTGGGGGGAGAGTGGGGAGAGAGAAGGGAGAGAGTGGGGGGTGGGGAGAGAGTGGGGAGAGAGTGGGAGGAGAGATGGGCAGAGTGTTCGAGGGGGGTGGGGAGATGGGGGAGTGATGGGGTAGAGATGAGCGGTGTGGAGGGAGGGAGAGAGATGGGAGAGTGGGGGGAAGAGAGTGGGGGGGGGAGAGTCTGGAGTGGGGAAGATGGGGGGGGGGGGGGCGAGGATAAAGTGGGGGGAGAGAGTGGGGGGGGGAGAGTGGGGGGGGGAGACAGTGGGGGGAGAGAGTGGGGGGGGAGGCACACACAAGGCAACGGATGGCCGAGCGAGCGTCGGTGGCTATCGTAACGGCGCGGAAGTCACCACCACCACCACGGCCACCACCACCACCACGGCCACCACCACCACCACGGCCACCACCACCACCACAGCCACCACCACCACCACGGCCACCACCACCACCACCGCCACCACGGCCACCACCACCACCACCACGACCACCACCACCACCACCATCATCACGGCCACCACCACCACCACCACCACCACCACGGCCACCGCCACCACGGCCACCACCACCACCACCACGGCCACCACCACCACGACCACCACCACCACCACCACAGCCACCACCACCACGGCCACCACCACCACAGCCACCACCACCACCACCGCCACCACCACCGCCACCACCACCGCCACCACGGCCACCACCACCACGACCACCACCACCACCACGGCCACCACCACCACGACCACCACCACCACCACCATCACGGCCACCACCACCACCACGGCCACCACCACCACCACGGCCACCACCACCACCACGGCCACCACCACCACGGCGGTGAAGACGACGTTCACGCAAACGGCAAAAAAAAGACGAAGAGTAGGAGCGCTACTTGCTCTGCTGCTGCGCTGTGGAATGCATGGTCAGGGGTGAGGTCAGGGGTCAGGGGTCAGGGGTGAGGTGAGGGGTGAGGCGAGGAGGGTGGTGAGGGCAGGCACACGGCCGGTCAACCCCGGCGCTACTGGATCCCCACCACCTGCTGGGGGGGGCCTTTCGCATGTACACACGTGTGTACGTGTAAATACACGTGTGCGTGCGTGCGTGCGTACACACACACACACGTGTGCGCGTACACACACACACACACACGTGTGCGTACGTGTAAATACACGTGTGTGTGTGCGTGTATATAGACACACACACACGTGTGCGTGCGTACGTACACACACGTGTGTGTGTGTGTGTGTACGCCGCTGTGGTTTCAATGCCCAAAAAAAAAAGAGTTGCTTGGATTTGTGGGCAGATGCGGAGAGGCGGGCGGGCGAGATGGTGGGCGGGCGGGCGAGATGGTGGGCGGGCGGGGGAGATGGTGGGCGGGCGGGCGAGATGGTGGGCGGGCGGGCGGGCGAGACGGTGGGCGGGCGGGCGAGATGGTGGGCGGGCGAGATGGTGGGCGGGCGGGAATTCTGTCTACTCCCCACCGTACAATCATAACCACCACCCACCACTACCTACCCACTAACCCACCCACCAACCCCTCGCAAAACCAAACACAACCTGGGCCGCTCTGTGGGTGGACGGAGAGGAGAGATGGTGGGTGGGGTGAGGTGGTTTTTCACCGTACATACAATCATGACCTCCACCACCACTGCTACACCCCCCCACTAACCCACCCACCTCCACCCCCCCTCTATCCCAAGTGTGAGCGTCAAGTGGTGGGGGGGAGGAAGGCTGTCTGGCTTAGCGAAGGGGGGCCAGGGGGGGTAGGGGGGAGCTGGGGGCAGAGCAGGGGGCAGGGGTGGGAGAGAGGTGGCGGGGGGGGGGGGGGGGGGCAGGGGTGGGAGAGAGGGTGGGAGAGAGAGGGGCAGGGTGGGAGAGAGGGGGGAGAGAGGGTGGGACAGGGTGGGGGAGAGATGGGGGGAGAGAGGGTGGGAGAGAGAGAGGGTGGGAGAGAGAGAGGGTGGGAGAGAGAGGGAGAGGGTGGGAGAGAGAGGGAGAGGGTGGGAGAGAGAGGGAGAGGGTGGGAGAGAGAGGGTGGGAGAGAGAGGGTGGGAGAGAGAGGGTGGGAGAGAGAGGGAGAGGGTGGGAGAGAGAGGGTGGGAGAGAGAGGGGGAGAGAGAGGGTGGGAGAGAGGGTGGGAGAGAGGGTGGGAGAGAGGGGGAGAGAGAGGGTGGGAGAGAGGGGGAGAGAGAGGGTGGGAGAGAGGGGGAGAGAGAGGGTGGGAGAGAGGGGGAGAGAGAGGGGGGGAGAGAGAGGGTGGGAGAGAGGGGGAGAGAGAGGGGGGGAGAGAGAGGGGGAGAGAGTGGGAGAGGGTGGGAGAGAGGTGAGAGAGGGGGCGGGGGGGGAGAGAGGGTGGGAGAGAAGAGAGGGGGGAGAGAGGGGGTGGGAGAGAGAGGGTGGGGGAGAGAGAGGGTGGGAGAGGGTGGGAGAGAGAGGGGGAGAGAGAGGGTGGGAGAGAGGTGAGAGAGGGTGGGAGAGAGAGGGGGTGGGAGAGAGAGGGGGTGGGGGAGAGAGGTGGGAGAGAGAGGTGGGAGAGAGAGGGGGTGGGAGAGAGGGGGCGAGAGAGAGGGAGAGAGAGGGGGGCAGGCGGGGGAGAGAGAGAGAGAGAGGGTGGGAGAGAGGGGGCAGGAGAGGGGGGAGCAGGCGGGCGGGGGGGGGAGGGCGGCAGCTCATCCGGACTTGAAGAGCAAGATGGCGACCTGGCCCAGGTAGAAGTAAATGAAGTGCTTGGTCTCGTGGGTCACGTAGCTGCCAAAGTTACGTCCCACAATGCAGTGCCAGGTGGGGTTGTACTTCTTGTCGAATTCCTGCGCCTCGCACAGAGGGAGAGAGACACACACGGACACACGGACACACACGGACACACGGACGGGGATTGGCGTCGTGAGACAGACCGCAAAGAGCGAGGGAGCGAGCGAGGAAGCACAGCTCCTACAGGAGCGAGAGTGAGCGTGCGAGTGTGTGAGTGAGCGAGAGTGAGCGTGCGAGGGAGCGAGGGAGAGCGAGAGTGAGCGAGAGAGAGAGCGAGAGAGTGAGCGAGCGTGTGAGGGAGCGAGTGAGCGAGTGAGGGAGCGAGAGTGAGCGGGAGTGTGAGCGAGCGTGTGAGGGAGAGAGTGAGCGAGAGAGTGAGTGAGTGTGTGAGGGAGCGAGAGTGAGCGGGAGTGTGAGCGAGCGTGTGAGGGAGTGAGAGAGTGAGCGAGAGAGTGAGTGTGTGAGGGAGCGAGAGTGAGCGGGAGTGTGAGCGAGCGTGTGAGGGAGTGAGAGAGTGAGCGAGAGAGTGAGTGAGTGTGTGAGGGAGCGAGAGTGAGCGGGAGTGTGAGCGAGCGTGTGAGGGAGTGAGAGAGTGAGCGAGAGCGTGCGAGTGTGTGAGGGAGCGAGAGTGAGCGGGAGTGTGAGCGAGCGTGTGAGGGAGCGAGTGAGCGAGCGAGCGTGTGAGGGAGCGAGTGAGCAAGCGAGAGAGTGAGTGAGCGTGTGAGGGAGCGAGAGTGAGCGGGAGTGTGAGCGAGCGTGAGGGAGCGAGTGAGTGAGCGAGCGAGCGAGCGAGCGAGCGAGCGAGAGAGTGAGCGTGTGAGGGAGCGGGAGTGTGAGCGAGCGTGTGAGGGAGAGAGTGAGCGAGCGAGAGAGTGAGTGAGAGAGTGAGCGAGAGAGAGAGTGAGCGTGTGAGGGAGCGAGGGTGAGCGGGAGTGTGAGCGAGCGTGTGAGGGAGCGAGTGAGCCAGCGAGAGAGTGAGTGAGCGTGTGAGGGAGCGAGAGTGAGCGGGAGTGTGAGCGAGCGTGTGAGGGAGAGAGTGAGCGAGCGAGAGAGTGAGTGAGAGAGTGAGCGAGAGAGAGAGCGAGCGTGTGAGGGAGCGAGAGTGAGCGGGAGTGTGAGCGAGCGAGAGAGTGAGTGAGAGAGTGAGCGGGAGTGTGAGCGAGCGTGTGAGGGAGCGAGTGAGCGAGCGAGCGTGTGAGGGAGCGAGTGAGCGTGTGAGGGAGCGAGTGAGCGAGCGAGCGTGTGAGGGAGCGAGTGAGCGAGCGAGCGAGCGAGTGAGAGAGTGAGCGAGCGGGGGAGCAAAAGAGCATGTGAGGGAGCGAGCGTGAGAGAGCAAGCGAGTGTGAGGCAGCGAGAGAGTGAGCGAGAGAGTGAGCGAGCGTGAGAGCGAGTGTGTGAGGGAGCGAGAGTGAGTGAGAGAGTGAGCGAGAGAGCGTGCGAGTGTGTGAGGGAGCGAGAGTGAGCGGGAGTGTGAGCGAGCCTGTGAGGGAGCGAGTGAGCGAGCGAGCGAGTGAGTGAGCGGGAGTGTGAGCGAGCGTGTGAGGGAGCGAGTGAGCGAGCGAGCGAGTGAGAGAGTGAGCGAGAGAGAGAGTGAGCGTGTGAGGGAGCGAGAGTGAGCGGGAGTGTGAGCGAGCGTGTGAGGAAGAGAGTGAGCGAGCGAGAGAGTGAGTGAGAGAGTGAGCGGGAGTGAGCGAGCGTGTGAGGGAGCGAGTGAGCGTGTGAGGGAGCGAAGTGAGCGAGCGAGCGTGTGAGGGAGCGAGCGAGTGAGAGAGTGAGCGAGCGAGAGAGTGAGTGAGAGAGTGAGCGGGAGTGCGAGCAAGCGTGTGAGGGAGCGAGTGAGCGAGCGAGCGTGTGAGGGAGCGAGTGAGCGAGTGAGCGTGTGAGGGAGCGAGTGAGCGAGCGAGCGTGAGTGAGAGAGTGAGCGAGCGGGGGAGCAAAAGAGCATGTGAGGGAGCGAGCGAGTGTGAGGCAGCGAGAGAGTGAGCGAGAGAGTGAGCGAGAGAGCGAGCGTGAGAGCGAGCGTGTGAGGGAGCGAGCGTGAGAGCGAGCGTGTGAGGGAGCGTGAGAGCGAGCATGAGAGCGAGCGTGTGAGCGTGTGAGGAAACGAGCGAGTGTGCGAGCGAGCGTGCGAGCGTGAGAGCGAGCGTGTGTGGGAGCGTGAGTGTGAGCGAGCGTGTGAGCGAGCGTGTGAGCGAGCGTGTGAGCGTGCGTGAGAGCGAGCGTGAGAGGGAGCATGAGAGAGAGCGAACGAGCGTGCGAGTGTGTAAGGAGCGAGCGTGTGAGCGAGCGTGTGAGTGAGCGTGAGGGAGCGAGCGTGCGTGTGTGTAAGGAGCGAGCGTGTAAGGAGTGAGCGAGCGTGTGAGGGAACGAGCGTGCGAGTGTGTGTGTAAGGAGCGAGCGTGCGAGCGAGCGTGTAAGGAGTGAGCGAGCGTGTGAGGGAACGAGCGTGCGAGTGTGTGTGTAAGGAGCGAGCGTGTGAGCGAGCGTGTAAGGAGCGAGCGTGAGAGCGTGTGAGGGAGCGAGCGTGCGAGTGTGTGTGTAAGGAGCGAGCGTGTGAGCGAGCGTGTAAGGAGCGAGCGTGAGAGCGTGTGAGGGAGCGTGCGTGCGAGTGTGTGTGTAAGGATGCGAGCGTGTGAGCGAGCGTGTAAGGAGCGAGCGTGAGAGCGTGTGAGGGAGCGTGCGTGCGAGTGTGTGTGTAAGGAGCGAGCGTGTGAGCGAGCGTGTAAGGAGCGAGCGTGAGAGCGTGTGAGGGAGCGTGCGTGCGAGTGTGTGTGTAAGGAGCGAGCGTGTGAGCGAGCGAGCGTGTGAGCGAGCGAGCGTGTGAGCGAGCGAGCGTGTGAGTGTGTGTGTAAGGAGTGAGCGTGCGAGCGAGCGTGTAAGGAGCGTGCGTGCGAGTGTGTGTGTAAGGAGCGAGCGAGCGTGCGAGCGTCACCTTCTTGATGTAGGCAGCAATGTCCTTCTCGATGTTGTACTTCTCGAGGGCTTGCGTGGCGCAGTCCACCGCGTCCTGTTGCATCTCCTCCGACATGTCGGCATTCTTGATCACCGCCTTGCGTTCCGACATCTTGCTGGGGACCCCCGGGGCTGCGCACAATCCACCCCCCCCCCCCCCACGGACACGTTCAAAACAACGAGCGGTCGCATTTTTAAAACAAAAAAAATTAAAATAAAAAAAGGCGAGACTGCATTATTATTATTATCATTATTTTTTATTATTTACCAAGATGACAAGGAGGCTCCCCCCCCTTTTCCGTTTCTGACAACAAACAGCCGCGTTAAGATGTCAACGAGCAGCCCACGGTAATGCGAAGGGAGGAAGAAAAAACCGCGGCCCGATAATGCAGAGTTTTAAAAAAAAAAAACAACTTGGATCGCGAGCAACTTTGGCCTGCGCGAGTGTTACAATAAATATTAATTATTGATTTAAAGCTTTCGTGACTGCAATGATTCATCTTCTTTGGTTCTTTCGGTAAAGTCACCACCACGTAGAATGAGAATAAAATAATAAATTGATCAAATAAAATAACACAATAATATTCTCACGACGTTTCGGCCACAACACAAGCGGCCTTCATCATCACCTGATGAAGGCCGCTTGTGTTGTGGCCGAAACGTCGTGAGAATATTCACCTGATGAAGGCCGCTTTGTGTTGTGGCCGAAACGTCGTGAGAATATTATTGCGTTATTTTATTTTATCAATTTATTATTTTATTCTCATTCTACGTGGTGACTTTACCGAAAGAACCAAAGAAGATTAATTATTGACTAACGAGCGAGTGTGGGTGTGGGTGGGTGGGTCTAGCGTGGGTCTAGCAGCACGTGCAGCGGCACGCGTGCACGCTTTGTACTGCAGATCGTTCACGTGATCACGCAACGACTGGACGCACGGGCGCGCTTTGGATTGCAAAAAACAACAAACAAACAAAAACACAAAACACGTTTTACCGGGGGAGCGAATCATGCTTCGCAAGCGCCTATGGTTCTTTTTTCCCCGTCCACCGTCGCTGAAACCGACTGGGGTTCCACGCGCCAGAGGACGGCTTTCTTTTGAGCCGCGTCTCAAAAAACGGCGTTCGACCGGAGGACGCCGAAAAGGCAACAACAACAAAAAAGTGGAGGTTTCCCCCCGCCCGTAATAATAAAAAAAAGGAGGTGTGGATTTCGATTTAAAGCTTTCGTCACTGCATGGGATTCATCTTCTCGTAGAATGGAAACAAAGTAATTGGAAATAAAACATGAGAAAATTTAAAATTTACAATTCTCACGACGTTTCGCTCCACAACACGAGTGGCCTTCAGTTCTGTTGCCTCACCTGAAGAAGGCTACCTGGGGACGTTGTTTGCCGAAACGGCGAGATAATTTTATTTTAAATCACGTTTTATTTTATTTTTTTATTAAATTTTGATTGTAAAAGCTTTCGTGACTGCAGTAATTCATATTCTTAGTTCTTTCGGTAAAGTCACCACGTTGAAGGGAAACAATAAAATAATAATAAAAATATATAAAACAATAAAAAAATTCTCACGACGTTTCGACCATAACACAAACGGTCGTCATCAGGTGTGACCGTTTGCATTAATTTACATAGAAATTTATGCAAACCCGACACACCTGATTTTTTGTTATTTTTATTACTTTGTTTCCATTCTACGTGGTGGTGACTTTACCGGAAGAACCAAGGTGTGAATTTATTTTTTAAAAAATAAAAAAACTCATCTGAAGGCTGTTAAACTGTAATCCAGAAAAGACGTACGGATTTTTTTTTTAACTTGGCCATCACAAATGCTAGCTCATGTCACCACCACCACCACCACGTGGAAAGTTCTAGCAGTCGCCAAATACTCCATGTACATCGAACATCCCCTCCTCGCACCGTACGGAGCCGACCGTGCAAAAATCGGAGGTGCGATCAAAATGCACAGAGGGCGCACAGAGGACCCACACTAAAACTAAGCCTTTTTATTTTGACCGAGTAAGGACCCACAGAGGTGCTGTTTAGCTCCCTGTTCAGACCGAGCGACCTGCCCATCGCAGGTAATGATAGTGGCTGATATCATCATCATCACCGCGTGGACATTTACACCAGCCACTCATCACTGCTCGCCACGAGCTGTATTTGTACCAGATGTAAGGCCATCCCCAGAGCTCCTGTTGAGCTCCCTGTTCAGACCGAGCGACCTGCCCATCGCAGGTAATGATAGTGGCTGATATCATCATCGTCGGCATCACCGCGTGGACATTTACACCAGCCATTCATCACTGCTCGCCACGAGCTGTATTTGTACCAGATGTAAGGCCATCCCCAGAGCTCCTGTTGAGCTCCCTGTTCAGACCGAGCGACCTGCCCATCGCAGGTAATGATAGCGGCTTCATCCAAGCGGCCGATATCATCGTCACCATCGTCATCATCATCAGTCCCGTGGGAACTTATAGCAGCAGCCACATACTCTCAAACCACAGGAGGGCCACAGAGAGTCAGGTGGCCGATAGCCAGAGAGACCCACACTCATAGAGATGCCATATTAAAACTCAACTACACACCGAAGACGGCTTTTCTTTAGAGCCTGGTCTCAATTGGTTTCCCGGACCAGACGACGCCAAAAAAAGGCGTCGCACAGCTCAAAGGCAACGCCACTATCAAAGTAATGAGGGCTCGGGGCGAGCGTCTACAACATCATTGGACCTCCTTTGCTAGTACCAAAATATAATGAGAGTAACATTTATACATTAACGCGATCGAACTCCACCACCACACCCCCAAAAAAAAAAGCTCTATTATTGATGACATTGATCACAAAAGCCTACTACGTCTTAAGACTAAAACTTTCATTTCAGCAGGCAAGGCTAACCGAGCTATGTGGCACATTCAAATTTTAACCTCTCGATTATACGCTCTGGGGGTGGGTGGTGGTGGTGGGTGGGTGTAAGGTTCAAAGTTACAAAACCACATTAGCAATGAAAAAATAAACCGCGGCTGCTTGTGCACGCGTCCGACACGAACAACAACAACGACGACAACAACGGATACCCTCCTCCTCCTCCGCCGCCTTCGGGGGGGTTAAAAACCTTCGAGAGGAACATTTACTGCGATGGTGGCGGTGGTAGTAGGGGGGGTTTGGGATGGGTGGGCAAAAACAAAACAATAAAAAACACACGAGGCCCGTTCCGAAACGCTGGCGGCGCTGCCACGGTCAGACGATGGCCCACCACCACTTCCTGTCGCCCGGCAAGATCGTGGGAGGGAGGAGGGCATTGCCAGGCCAACGCGTCAACAGCCGCGGCAGAGCGGAGGGGACGGGGTGACGAACGCGCGCGCGTAGTCATGGAGCAGGGTCGCGAAGGACGCTGCTGCTGCTGGGCAGTCGGGAGGCAGTCGCCCTCCAACGACGGAGGGCGGAGGGCGGAGGAGCGACGCTCACAACGACGGGCGGAGCTCCGGGCGGCTAAAGCGCAGCGAGAGTTGCACCGCCTGCATCCACCCCCGCCCTCGACCGCGCCCATCTACCAGATGGTCATCTCAGTCGGTCAAACCCTATGGGCACCTGCTGGGTCTGTCCCCGTGACCTCCTCATGCACCTAGCCTGGCACAGCAGTTAGCCCATGGCACCTGCTGGGTCTGTCCCGCGACCTCCTCCTCCTCCTCATGACCCACAGACTCGCCCGCGCAGAGACCCACAGACTCGCCACACAGAGACCCACAGACTCGCTCACACAGAGACCCACAGACTCGCCACAGACTCACCCGCGCAGAGACCCACAGACTCACCTGCACAGAGACCCACAGACTCACCTGCACAGAGACCCACAGACTCACCTGCACAGAGACCCACAGACTCACCTGCACAGAGACCCACAGACTCACCTGCACAGAAACCCACAGACTCACCACACAGAAACCCACAGACTCACCACAGAGACCCAGACTCCCACAGACTCGCCACACAGAGACCCACAGACTCCCCACACAGAGACCCACAGACTCACCCACACAGAGACCCACAGACTCGCCACACAGAGACCCACAGACTCACCCGCACAGAGACCCACAGTAACCACGGTAGTAGCTAGAGTGACTAAGAGGCGACTGACTGCCATTGATTGATTGAGGGTGAGCCAGCCAGTCAAGTTAACGGCAACGGTAACCACGGCGGTAGTAGCTATAATAGTGTGACGAGGAGGCGAGTGACTGAGCGAGCCAGTCAAGTTCACGGCAACGGTAACCACGGCGGTAGTAGCTATAATAGTGTGACGAGGAGGGGGAGGGCGAGTGACTGAGCCAGCCAGCCAAGTTCACGGCAACGGTAACCATGGCGGTAGTAGCTATAATAGTGTGACGAGGAGGCGAGTGACTGAGTGAGTCAAGTTCACGGCAACGGTAACCATGGCGGTAGTAGCTATAATAGTGTGACGAGGAGGAGGCGAGTGACTGAGCCAGCCAGTCAAGTTCACGGCAACGGTAACCATGGCGGTAGTAGCTATAATAGTGTGACGAGGAGGAGGAGGCGAGTGACCGAGCCAGCCAGTCAAGATCACGACAACGGTAACCATGGCGAACCTGTCAACTCCTTACTAGTGCCACTAAACCTTATTACGGACAAATTCGGACCTTGTTGGTCACCGCCCCCGCCCCCCCCAACCCAGCGCGTTCATCCTACAAAGAAATTCCCATCAATCACAAGGGAGATGGCACAAAGACACGCACAAAAACAGACTTCTCATCGCCCGTGTTGAAACAGCCGCAACGCCGTATTGGATACGAAAACCCGACATCCCCTGTACAAGAATCACGGGCAAACGGTGCGGATCGACACGCCATGCCACAAGCAGCGTCCGTAGCTCAAGGCCATTTCGATTTGAAGCTTTCGTGACTGCGGGGAGGGGGGGATTCATATTCTTGGTTCTTTCGGTAAAGTCGCCACCACATAGAAAAACAAAAAAAATAAAAAAATATTTAAAACCAATTTACGTATTCTTAGTTTTGATTTAAAGCTTTCGTGACTGCAGTAATTCATATTCTTAGTTTTTTCGGTAAAGTCACCACGTTGAAGGGAAACAACAAAATAAAAAACTAAGAATATGTATT